CACGTTTCCCTCTATTTTTAAAAAAAGATTGGAAATTCTTTTTTCTTCTTTTTTATTACATGCCGAATGGAAAGTCTTTTTTTAGTTACCTTCAGTGTGCTCTTGTTGTGCCTTATTGTGTGAATTTCCCTCTCTATTTGACCAAAAACGGGGTACGTGTATGTATGTTTGAGCGCGCAAGAGTGTGTAGGCGTTTGAGGGAACGAGACACTTTTATTCCCTTTTTAAAACACGTTTCTGTGTTGAATTTACTTTAAAATAATTTTTTAAAGAAAAGAAATAGAAACCAAAACCAAAAACAAAACCAAAACAAAAATAACTACAAAAATAATTTATAAAAAGCAAAAGTCAATTCTTTCGGGTTCTGTTACTTGCTCCCTGTCGGTTCTTGTGTTGACGGCCCTTCACTTACTACAGACTTCAACATATTATTAAGTTAATTTAAGGACCACTTGCAAACACTCTGAGTGGTCTTCTTGGGCCGACCTAGATGTGGGCGTTCTTGGACTGATCCAGTGACCTGATGGGGCTACATCAAGCGGACAATGAGAGGGTGTGACCAGAGAGTTTGGTGTGACACTGCAAGCGCTCTGGCAGCTTCTCAGATTCCAGCTCCATCCTGCAGCCATGCCATAGCTCTGGCACGATCAGAGTCTCTCAGCTTTCGCCTTGGTGGCATGTTGATGCGATACTGGATTTTGCGCAAACAGGGGCTTATTTTGCCACCAAGTGAGCACAGTTCAAGACCTGACGTCCGTATTTGACAATCACCAGAAATTTTAACTGAGGAATGTCCGTGGTGTTGCACAAAAGTCGATAAAAAAGCAGCAAATTTGACTAAAATTCCCCGAGGATTTCCGTGTTGCACGTGGCGATTTAGGAAGCTTTGCAGTACGCATTGGTAACCCATTAAGGGTTTCAGAGCAAAGAAGTTTGAAACATTCCTTGCTGTCTTTTTTCGGATTAAAAAAATCATGAATGTCTGTCAAGGTGGTCCTTAACTTATGTCGAAGTCTGCAGAACAAAAATGTCTCCATTTCGGTATGCTGTGCGTAATTGTGTAACGGGTTACGTTGTGTGTAGTTGAGGCACAGCGTATGTTGTGTGCTACTGTGACGCAATGTAGTATGCTTGTGCGTGGTTTTGACACAATATATTTTGTGTGTAGTTGTGACAATGGGTATGTTGTGTGTATATGTGACCTTGGGTATGTTGTGTGTCGTTGTGACACAATGTATGTTGTGTGTAGTTGTGACACAATGTAGTTGTCACATTGGGTATGTTGTGTCTAGTTGTGACCTTGGGTATGTTGTGTGTCGTTGTGACACAATGTATGTTGTGTGTAGTTGTGACATTGGGTATGTTGTGTGTGGTTGTGACATTGGGTATGTGGTGTAATAGTTATGACACACAGTATGTTGCATGTAGTTGTTATAGTTGCAAAGCGCATAGAGCATGCCGTAGAGCGTGGATATGGACTTTATAACAGCTATTAGTTTTATTGTTACCATAATTATTACCAGTAGTAGGAGTAGTAGTTGCAGTAGCAGTAGCAGTAGCAGAAGAAGTAACACCAGTAGTAGTAGTAGTTGTAGTAGCAGCAGTAGTAGTTGTAGTGGCAGCAGCAGTAGTAGTAGTAGTAGTAGAAGTAGTACAAGTAGTAGTAGTAGCAGTAGTAGCAGTAGTAGTCGTAGTAGTAGTAATCGTAGTAGTAGTAGTTGTAATAGAAGTAGTAGTTGCAGTAGCAGTAGCAGAAGCAGTAACACAGGTAGTAGTAGTAGTAGTAGTAGTAGTAGTAGAAGTAGTAGTAGTAGTAGTAGTAGTAGTAGTAGTAGTAGTAGCAGTAGTAGTAGTAGTCGTAGTAGTAGTAATCGTAGTAGTAGTAGTAGTAGTAGTAGTAGTAGGAGTAGCAGTAGCAGAAGCAGTAACACCAGTAGTAGTAGTAGTAGTAGTAGTAGTAGTAGTAGTAGTAGTAGTAGTAGTAGTAGTAGTAGTAGTAGTAGTAGTAGTAGTAGTAGTAGTAGTAGCAGTAGTAGTATCACTAATATTATCTTTATCATAATCAATATTCTCACTAATATCACTATTATTATTATATTATTATTATTATTATTATTATTATTATTATTACTATTATTATTATCATTATTATTATCATTATTATCATGTTATCATTATTATTATTTTTATTACTACTATTATTATTATTGTTGTTGTTGTTTTTGTTATTGTTAGTATCATTTTTTATCTTTATTATTACTATTATTATTATCATTATTAAAGGTGTTATTATTATTATTATTATTATTATTATTATTTTTAAGTGTTATCATTATAGGTTTTAAAACAATCATTTTCACTAACTGTTAAGACACGCACTGGATTCTGTCATCGACAGGAAGGTGGTGAGAGACAAGCCAGAGATCCTGGAATTTTTGGGTCAGACGCTGCCCTCAGTATATGTCCAGAGACATTTCACGGAGACATACATCAGGCGAGTGGACTATTCAAACGATCGGGCGAGGGAAGGAAAATTGGTGTACACCGTCTTTTTCTCGCTTTATTCCCGGCTGTCTGTCTGTCTGTCTTTCTCTCTTTCTCACTCTATCACACTCTCTCTCTCTCTCTCTCTCTCTCTCTCTCTCTCTTTCATTCACTCTCTCTCTCTGTGTCTCTCCCTCTGTCTCTCCCTCCTCTCTCTCTCTCTCTCTCTTTCTCTCTCTCTC